CAATGTTCAGTTCAGGGTTTTCTCAGAAATTTGGCTGAATCCTTGAGAAATGGAGCTTTTGTTAACCCCCCAGATGGAGTTCTCATATTCTTTCACTTGTGAAGAGCTTTTGCCAAGCTGTGCTGACTACTGGCAGGGAAGTCATCCACCCCAGGTAAATCCTACACACACACTTGTAGTAAATGTGTGTGTGTGTGCACGTGCAAGCATGGTGTGCGTGTGTATGTGGTAGGAACTTCACAACTCAGCCATACTCACTTAAATGACAAGTCCCGGACGAGAAAAGTCCAAATGCACAGACTGAAGAGACCAAATCTGCACTTGCACTCTGTCAGCCTAGCCTAACGGATCCACAGCCACGGTGGGAGGCTGCTCCCAGGCTGGAGAATGGGAGGAAATCCTAAAGAACACAGAGAGGCTGGGAAACTTAACCTTGGATGAAGGGCAAGTGGGAGGAAAGGAGGCAATAGTTTTGACAAACTTCAAGGAAAAGACAAACTGAATTACTTAGGAATGACTTAAGGCAAATAAGTTTTGGGGAGGCCTGATTTTTCATAAAACCTTCTTTAAAGCAACATTTATTTGTCAGGGATCAGAGGAAGAAGAGACTACCTCTATTAAACACCTCCCCCACCCCAAATATTCAGTACAATAATTCTCTTTCCTTCAGTCTTTGCTAAATGGAAAGATGGGTGATCTGAACCACCCAGACTAGAAGGGACTCCAGAATTACATGACTGCTGCTCTGTTGTTCCAATGAGTGGTCTTCGTCCAAGAGATTAAATGCCAACCCTCCCTAGAGAGCATTGCTGGCTGAAATGCCAGGAACGAATCAACACACAGAAGAGGCTGCCTCTTACTCCGCAGTCAGGGTTTAAGCAGGCGCTGAGGAAGAAGCAGGCTTCCCTTGTGGCTCAACTGGTAAAGAATCTGCCTACAATGTGGGAGACCAGGGTTCAAACCCTGGGTTGGGAAGATCCCCTGGAGAAGGGGAGGGCTACCCACTCCACTATTCTGGCCTGGAGAATTCCATGGACTGTATAGCCCATGGGGTCACAAAGAGTCGGACACGACTGAGAGACTTTCACACTTCAAGGAAGAAGAAAGAAAAGACAAGGAGCCTAGCACTGTCCTACAGTTTGGAGCCATGCACCATCTCCTGCCTGGACTGCGTTCACTGTGTGGAAAAGCAGAAACCGCTCTGGGAAAAGCTCAGAGAACTCTTATTTCTTAACCCCCCACCCCAAGTTTCCAAAAAAACCCTCACCAAACTCCCTCTTCCCTTTTTCTACAGGTTATTGCTCTGTGGACAATGAATGATTTCTTCTCGGTACCTTCTGGCTGCCTGGTGGGGAATGCACAATAGAGAAAGGTCAGACTCTTCTCGTCTCCAGGACGCTTTTCAGGGCCCACCCACCTTCAAGAGGAAATCCCATACAGGTATGTGTTGAATTTCATAAAGAAAGCTCTAGGAGACCAAATCTCCAAATTCAAAGAATGTTAGAAAGAGGAGTAAAGCAAGATTCTTCATATCTCCCTCTTGAAGGGACTCAGAACTGACATGAACACGTGGGTCTCAGGTGTTCAACCCAAGGGGACACGGCTGTCTCACACTTCATTCTCACATCATCTTCTGAGGTAGGGATCATGTCCATTTTAGCAAAGAAGCAAGAAGCTCAGAAGTTAAATGATTTGCCCAAGGAGAGAAATCTATTAAACAGGAGAACTGGGTTTAAACCCGTTATTTCTGACTCCAAAGCTTGCACACTTCCCACCATAAGGTGGAAGCTTGCCACCATCAAAGGCTGGGCTCCATGCTCCACACAACGTGAGGCACAGCCTGTCTCCAGACATGCTGGTTGGTTAGCTACACGACTCTGAGAAGCTAACCTCACTAGGCATCCCTTAATTCTTCTGCAGAAGGAAAGAGCAAAACTAGATAATTCAACTCCACAAGTCTACCACGCTATGTGTCCCTTTCTTTCCTAGCCTCTCTTCCTTACTAAACTTTCTTTCGTGGTTATTTCAAGTCAGCCCTTTCACCTATAACTTTCTTAATTTAAGCCTACTTTTTCTAAACTAAAGGTACAGTACTTCTCCTCACCTCTGGGTCCTTAGAACGGTACTTAATGGATGGAGAGGGGGAGAGAATGACTTTGAATCTGGGGAGACAGGCAGAAGTCCCATGGAAGCAGGGATGTGGTCTCTGCCTGTGTCCCTGCACCCCAGTCCTACTATCAGGCGCAGGGGTGGGGCTCAGAGAGAAGTCAACACATTCCTGGCCTCCAAGTGGCCTCATCTCGGATAATTTCAAACCCTCACACTTTCTTCCTCATCTAGCCCTGTAGCCACCCTTCCAAACTGCAGGACCATTGGGTCTTGCTGAGGAGCTCCAACCCCCATCATGGGAAAGCTCCTTTCCAGGGGCATGAGCCAAGCAAGCTCCAACCCCCTGCCCACAGCCGTGCTCCAACAATGGGGCGACAGACCGCCCTTAACAGCACCGGGTGGCCCATTTCCCAGCTTTCAAAGAGAACCGGGTGGGAAGACCAGTTGCGTGAAGTCGTACTATCAGTGCAGCGACTATAGACTAAAAATGTTTTCTGCCTTGGGAACTTCAAAGATGTGAACAGCTTCATGGGGGCAAAGCCTCCACACCACAGTATAACTTTCCTGATCCCCTCTCCCTCCACAGACAAAACCCAGAGTCCCTTCAAGATCCTCCAGAACCAAAGTTCAGGACTGGAGGCACTGTGCTAAATCTGCCCCTTTCCTCACTAGCCCATGGGATGAGATCCTCCAATGTTACTATTAATGCCAGGCCCACAAAAGATAAAATGCTTGATAAATATTACTCAAAAGTATCCTCTTTAGGTCCAATCTCTACTAGTCTCTCTCTCTTCTTTAACAGTCCCTCCCTCACCCCAGCACTGTACCTTCTCTCTAGACCTCCACAGTTGAAGAAGAGACTCTTGGTGTTGTCATCAAGGGAACGGACTTTCCTGACTAAAACTGAGAGGCGCGACGCTGAGAGGACCTTGGCCATCTGCTAAGAACTCTTGACAGAATTGCACTGCAGGGAAGAACGTCTGGAGAAGAGGCTGTTAGGAGGCAGGGCTCTGTGTCACTGGAGAAATTTCCATCTAATTACAAAGACACAAGAACCCGCTGTCCTAATCTACCTCAGCAGAATCTCTTGAGGGAGATCTGACCCTTTGAGTGAAGGCTGAGGGCGCAGCTGAGGTGAGAAGAGGGGAGAGGAGAGAGTGCCGGCTGCCGGCATTCCTACAGTGGGCACCCCTTCAAACGGCAGCTCGGCCACTGCAGAAGCCATTGATTTTCCAGGGGTCGATGCTCTGCTCCCACAGATCTGCTCAGCTGGAGGCTGAATCACATTGAGTGTTTCTGCTCAACATCTCCCTGCACTGGCCCCTCCCCAAACCAATAAAACAAACACCAAACACAATGTGAGTTGGCGAGAGAGATGGTGCTCCCCACACACACCCCCACCCCCAGAAAAATTATAAACACCAGTTCAAGGGAACCAAAGCTACATGGGCAACCCACAAGACGCTGCCTGGGCCAACCCACAGACCCCAGAAAGCCTTTTAATCCACTGCCCAACATCCCCACAGAGACCTTTCTAAAGATGCAGACGTTCTACATAAAAAAATCCAGGTTCCCAACTTGTGAAAACAGATCCTGGAACTCCCAGAGAGCGCTGATGGATTGAAACCCTGTTTTCTGGTTTGTCACAGACCCCACCAGGTCTGTACAATTACCCATGTTACTATCTGACCAGTCTTTTGACACACATCCCTCCCCCTCCTAGGGTTTTTCACTTGGGCCAGGATAGAGAATGTCTCCTTTAGTCAAAAACCACCTCTTGGCCGAAAGTGTACAGCGTGTTCTAAGGGTCACTAGCTAAGACTCAAATTTGAAAAAAAAAAAAAAAAAAAAAAACTAGGGCAGAGCTGGGTCTGAGTTACAGCAGTCAAGGCCGGTGCATATTTATGGAAAAGGGCTATTCTAATCCCAGCAGGAAAAGAGCACTGTGTAAAGCTGGAGAAGGCAAAGAAGTGAAGAACTCCCCTACTTTCTCCAAGTCCTGCAGGCCAACCACACAGACCGTGTTCCTTCCTGGTCATCAGCTTGGATCCTTGAACTTGAGCAAGGAGACTAGGAAAAGGGGGAGAGGAAAATAACAGAAAACACAGTAGAATTCTGGGTCTGAGAAATGTAAGGGGGAGGGGTACTGCCTTAAGCTTCCACCTCACCTGGCTGCTCCTCAGAAATACAGCAACCAGAAAGCAAGGAGGATGTGACGTGCACCAGTGGGGAAGGTGAGGTTGGCACTGTGCTGAACTCAGCGCAGACAAAGGTCTGGGGGGCTGGATGGCCTCCTCGGTTTGATATTTAAAGCTCTAGATGTGTATCTGCCAGTGGTCTTCCCTACCATGACCTACAGATCTAGATAAAATCCAAAGATTTAGAGGGAGGGAGCGGAACAAACAAATCTGAGTGGGAAATGGATAGAATCTTAAACCAGAAAAGACAGCCATCAACCCTGAAGGCCTTTAAAACCAAAAAAACCAACTCTATATACAGGGAAAGACATAGTCAAGTCCTAAAGGTAGAAGACAAAGGAGGGGGAGGAGGGAACGATAAATATTCTTGATAACAGTTCCTCTGAATACAGATTCTCTGAATCTATTTGGAACTCAATTTCTCTCCTACCTTTCCCCCAACTATCAGGAAATTACCTTGTCTGATCTCGGTAAACAACATTCAATATTCTTCCCACATCAAAGCTGGCCTTCAGGAAGGGACAGATATGCTGTCAGCTTAAACCTTCAACGCCCAGTTCCCACCTTCAACAAGGCAAGGCTTCTTAGTTCCCTTGGGAAAAGTCAAATGGGAAGCAAGCTAACAGCTTGGGGGTGAGCTCCGCCTCAGGGCAATCAGAGATTATGTCACAATACCAGACAATTCTATGCTGACAGCAGGTGTGGAGGAGGAATGGGTTCTGGCCACAGAAGTAGACGGAACAAGAGATCAAGCAGTGGTCCCCAGAGAAACAGCACTAGATCACATACCACTTTCATAACAGCTTTCAGGTAGAACACCAAACATCTTAGAAATATGCGAAAAAGACAACAGAGCTGATTCTATGCTTGACTTATCAGGTATGTTAACACAGCTCCACACCTCTGGGCCCTCCCCTCTGGGCCCAGATTCTTACTCTGCTGCAGAGGGGTCCTAGTGGTTTCTGTAAAGACAGCATTGCTAAGGGAACTTTGTTCAAAAAGCCCAAGATACCCCTCACCCTCCGCTGCTTCTTACCCTCTCCCCCAGAAAGACAAGACACAGCTTGGCAGTCCCACACCTAGGGGCTAGCTTTTGGATTCTGGTTGGTCTTCTTGAAGGAGGACAATGGCAGAACCAGAGCATGTACCTCACTGAGGTCATCTCCCAGACAGCTTTGCAGAAGGTTGTAAAAGCACCGACAGGAGAGAAGGGGAAGAGGAGGTAAAGATGGAGGAAAGCCACTTATCACTAAGGCAACTGAGTTCATCCATATGTTGACTCGGGAAATTCAAGAAATTCTAGCTTTTGAGGTTTCTTCCTTCCAGAATAAATGCTTCCTACATCTTCCTGGGGAGCAGATCCAGACCCAGAAGCTATAGTATCATTACCTTTGCCTAGAAGTCTCAATCTCACATCTCTCCATCCCACCTCCTTCCCTTTCTCCAAAGAGAAGAAAATATGGAAGACAAAGTCTGTCTTTTTAATATGGCATTCTTCCTTCTCTTAAAGGAGCTCTTTGCAGATCCTTTATAGGAGTTGGTCCTAACAGTAAAAGCAATGGGCTAGAAGTCAGGGAAGCCCATGTTCTCAGTTACTGAATGACCCTGGGCAAGTCCTTTACCCTTTCTGGGCCTTAGGTTCTCATATATGTAAAGTGTGGGGTGAGGGGGATGGTGGTATTTGTGTGAGTGTGGTGAATTTTCTGCGGAGTAGCTCATGCTGCCTCCATGCTACTCTTTTCCTAACTGCAGAGGTAAAAAAGCTAAAAACTACATTTCCCAGAATCTCCCTGCAGATGCTTTTGGCTATAATTCAGGTTCTGCTAATTAGAATCAGACTCAAGATTAGATCAAAGTATGGCAATGACCATACTTCTGTCTCCTTCACTTGTTTCTACAGGAGCATTTTGGTTTCATCTTCCAGTTAACTGGGTGCTCGTTCTGGTGGCTGCAGCTGCGGCTGCTGGATTTCAGTTTACCAATCCCTGGATAGCAGACAGAGCACTCACACTGAGAGTGGCTCACAAGCAGTTCCCTTGGTGGGTCAAATCTAGGTCTAGATCCCGATTCCTGGAGGACAAGCCTAGAGACATGCTCCCTCAGCCCTTTGACCAATCTTCAAGCCTTATTTGCTATATTAAATCCTTCTCTATTAAACTACCTAGGGTTTAGTATGGCCTAGGTTCCGTGTAGAAACCACTGACACAATTTTGTCAGATGACATGAAGAAGAAGTAGTTGTGAAGAAGAAAGAAATTATTCACAAAGCATATTCCCTAAGTCAGAGTCTTCTGAGGAAAAACGGGCAAGATGGGGAAGCCTAGAACTTTAAAATACATTTGTCCAGGACAACTTCCTTCACTTCTTCCCTTTTTACCATCTTCCTGTACTTTCTCCCTCCCACTCTAAGCTCTGGGGGGAGTTGAATGGCTCACAGAAGATGGAAGGTTGAGTCAGCACACGCTTTCCTTTCCATCCCTACATTCTCTGCAGGCTTTTACTCTGCCGAGGGTAGCATTACCTGCCCAACCCCAAATAAGTATTCTCTGGGCTTGAGCTGGAGAGGGTATCAACTGTCTTCCTCAGAAGCAGGAAATATGTTTACATAATCCAGGGGGTAAAGAACCAGGGCACGGCCCTGCACAGCTAATGACCAAAGACACATTTGGCCCATACAAGATCCTAGTTTATCTTCTTATACCAATTTCTGGTTGAAGTAACAAACCACCAGCTTCCTGTAGCAGGAGTGGGGACAAACTGAAAAAAACAAGGTCAAATCCGAGTGGCATGCTTGGTGTGATGGGGCATTTCCCACCAGTCTTCAGTGATGCTAACTAAACCCAGGAGCCATCACACTAGAGGTAAAGCTCAGCGAGTTTTCAGAATGAAGTTTTCTGAAGAAAACAAAGGTTCCAGCAAGAGGAATCTGTGTGAGACACACAGGCAGGAAGCAGAGCTGAGCCGCCAGCACCGAGAATAGAAACAGGAAGCGGGCCCAGGAACAAGCATAGAGTATCTGCTGCAGGCGGCACCAGCCCCAGAGGCGCCGCAGCAGCGTGACTGAGACGGAGAAACAGACTGGCTGGTCCCGCCAGAGCACCGGCGCTCTAGAGGAGGGATGGCTGCCTGCGCAGGGTACATGCTGCTCTGAGCACTCTGGGCAGATGTGACAGAGGGGGTGGGGATTTCCTTTCTGAGACTCTGTAAGAGCACCTGGGTTACAATTCAAGGGGACCGAGCACAGATACAGTCAGATATAAAGAAAACAGGTCACCGACCTCAGAATGGCTCAGCTTCTCTGGGTACCAAAATTGCTAGTGACATTTCTGTTATCCCTTAAAAAAATAAGCCATCAAAAACCTAGGCAAAAACTGTTGGTCCTGCGTTCTTTTACCATGAAATATGACAAAAGAGAACATAGTGTAAAACTTAAATCCTTCAAACATTCCAGTTTATTAAGCCTTTAGAGAATTTCTGTCACCTCTCCTACCTCTCACCAATAAACCTAGACAATGAAAAGCAGGTCCCCAAGCTCAGGCACGTAGTAAGAACCTATGGGCTAGTCAACAAAGGTTGACTAAGATTTGCCTAACACAGGTATCAGACACAGGTCTGAATGCTCAAGCAGAAGTACCAGCATAATGCTACACCAGCATGAAGCAAATGGGAAGAAGTCCCAGAGAAGGTATTTCACAGCTAGGTTTTGAAGCCAAAGTAGAATTTTGCTGGGCATTAAAAAAAAAAAAAAAAGGTGGGGGAGGGGGAGGAGGAACAGAGATGACACACACACCTTAAGCCAAAGGACAATGGCTTTGTGAGGACAAGGAGTTGTGAGGAGCTTAAAGGCACCCCTGAATGGCCAGAGATGAGGTTGCAGAGGCATGCTGGGAGCTCTGGATGGCCCCATAGCAAGTTCTGGGCTGTAGGTACAGGTGCTTCCAGAGCACAAACAAAACAACTACTTTACTAGACATGTAACATTTACTAGAGGAGACTGGTGGGCTACAGTCCATGGGGTCACAAAGTCGGACAAGACTGAGCACACTTGCATGTGTGCGCATGCAGACACGCACGCATGCGTGCATACACACACACACAGTCTCTGGCAAGATATTTCATTTGCAAAGTTTACTCAGCTTTCAGGGTCCAACTCTTCCTTGCTCCAGAACCATAAGACACATGAATCACCTGAAGACCTTGTTAACAGTGTTGGATTCAATAAAGCTGGTATAGGGCCCAAGAATCTGCATTTCTCACAAGCTCCCAGGTAGTGTCTGTGCTGCTTGATAATGGACCACATTTTCCTCAGCAACAAGGATCTGACTGATTTAAGTTTCACCATTAATCAGGACACTGTTTAAGAAAAAAAAGGCACAGAACAGGGCTTGCTCCATACAACACAAGGGAACCAAAGAACCATTCTCGTCAACTTTTCACTGTTGGAGCTGATGCCTTGCTTGGGGAGCCCCTCCAGCTGGCCTGACCTATAGATTTAACCACCTTCCTCCCTGTCCCTTCAGTTCACAACTCGTCTATGCTTCCATCACAGGGAGGTCTGGGGAAAGAAAGTGAAATGGATATCCATTTACACTCCTCCTCTTAGGACAACTCTAGTAAATGAAAAATGACAAAGGGTTGAGGCTTTTGGCTAAATATTAAGAGAGAATCAGATTGTCCATGCCTTTCCTCTCCTGGGTGGGATGCTAAGGGAATATTTCACCTGAAATATCAGAGAAAACTGGATTCAAACTCTAACTCCAACCCTTAGTTTCCCATGTAAAATAGAAGTGATTATTAAACTTAGTACATTTCAATTCCTGCCCTTCCAGGAGGATTCACTATGACTGAGGATCCTTTCCTGGCCTCACTCCTACCCTTTAAGATTCAGATTCTGTAAGAGTTCCTTTCCATTTTCTCTTTCCAGATCACTATAACCCAAGCTCTCAAGATTTGAGAACATCACAGTAGTAAAGCCGGAGTGTGACTAGGTACTCTCTTGTTAAGTAGAAATGTAAAGGGGGGGCTTGGAAACTCAAGCTATCAAATACTATCTTTCGATAATTTAACAGACATTAAAAATCCTATTTCTATTCACCTCACTCCTGGCATCAACAGCTTTCACTTCTGTCCAAACAGAGGAAGCAAGTATGGTCTAGATCTTCAAGAGCAGCCTAATAAGACTTTTTCAATCAAGGATATAGTGTCCCTTTTAAGCTAACCCAGTGCCCTTGATTCTCTTCTCTTGTTTAACTCCTGGAGGATGTGCCTCTTTATATCTTCCTAACACTCTGGCTGTCTAAGGTCTTCTTTAACACCACAGCTCAAAAGTATCAATTCTTCAACACTCAGCTTTCTTTATGGTCCAACTCTCACATCCATGCATGACTACTGGAAAAACCATAGCTCTGACTATATGGACCTTTGTCAGCAAAGTAATATCTCTGCTTTTTAACATGTTATCTAGGTTTGTCATAGCTTTTCTTCCAAGGAGCAAGCGTCTTTTAATTTCATAGCTGCAGTCACCATCTGCAGTGATTTTGGAGCCCAAGAAAATAAAGTCTGACACTGTTTCCACATCTATTTGCCATGAAGTGATGGGACCGGATGGTATGATCTTAGTTTTCTGAATGTTGAGTTTTAAGCCTTCAATTTCACTCTCCTCTTTCACTTTCATCAAGAGGCTCTTTAGTTCCTCTTCACTTTGAACTGTGGTGTTGGAGAAGACTCTTGAGAGTCCCTTGGACTTCGAGGAAATCAAGCCAGTCAATCCTAAAGGAAATCAGTCCTGAATATTCATTGGAAGGACAGATGCTGTAGCTGAAGCTCCAATACTTTGGTCACCTGATGTGAAGAACTGACTCATCTGAAAAGACCCGGATGCTGGGAAAGATTGAAGACAGGAGGAGAAGGGGATGACAGAGGATGAGATGGTTGAATGGCATAACTGACTGATGGACGTGAGTTTGAGCAAGCTCCAGGAGTTGGTGATGGACAGGGAAGCCTGGCATGCTGCAGTCCGTGGGGTCGCAAAGAGTCAGTCACGACTGAGTGACAGAACTGAACATTTCGGCGCCAACTTCACCATTTTGTGCCCTATCTGCTTTATACATATATGGGTCTTGAGATGAAGCTGAGGAATTTGGGCCGATTCAGCTGACTCCGCCTAACATGCCTTTCAAAAGTTCTCTTCACCTTTATATCCTTCCCTTACTCATTTCCTTCCCTCCAGCCTCAGAAGTCAGGGCCTCTCCCTACCTTAGAAGGCCCCCAATAAACTGCTTCATGACAAATTCAACTTTACATTCCTTGAAAACACATTAGATGCAGACCATCTTTGTCCCTTTCCCTGGCTTCCAGAAATATGACCCAACCCTGGGCCCCCTCCAACCTTTCCAGTTACGTGATGGTCACTTCTACTCAGTGGCCCCAAGCACAGTCTAGTGCTCCATCTGACTCCTCGCTCCATGCTGCATGGCCTGGGAGGTTTAACTATTAACCACTATGCAGACAACTCTCAAACTCGATCCAAACTCAGCTCTTACCCAAGTTTCAGCCTCCTAAATTCCAACTAGCAATGAAGCATTCGTTTTTAGGTATCTCACTATATGGAACTTAACTTCTCAAAGGCGAGTTTTCCTATTAACCTTCTATTTCTGTCAATGAGAGCCCCACCCTCCCCAAACCTGGTATATCAAGATTGTTAAGTTTTCCAGCCAGTAGAATCCACTTATTCCCAGTTCTATAGATTCTTTCCTGAGCACCTCACAACTAAGACTAGGTAGCTATGTAAATGAAGCTGAGGAGTAGAACTCCACCGAATGCTAGAATTATTTCAATAGTTTAACTCATCTCCTTGCTTGCAGACTACCCCCTTTCCAAACCATACTACACACCAGTGGATTATTTTTCTTAAAACATTAGCTTCATCATGTTATTGCCCTAATTAAGTATCTGCAGGCCTATGAGATCAGATCCAAGTGGCTTACTTATCCTACCAGGGCTCCAGCCCCTGTGATCTAGCTTTCCTTCCTGTTCCTGCCCACCTCAGGAAGCCTGATTCTGACCAGCCCCCCAGAAGTCATCCACACTGCACCCCACCCTCACCAAGCCTCAGCCCAGCACTTTTCCTTTCCATCCCACCCAAGACATCCGTATCTAGTTCATTTTAATTAAACTTCTGCTATGATGTCTCCCCTCTACGATTTTGTTTATGTTTATTTTTAATTGATTGATGATTATTTTACAATATTGGTCTCTTTCATACACCAACATCAATTAACCGCAGGTGTGCACACGTCCCCTCCCTCTTAAATCTCCCTCCCACTCTACTCTTTAGACATAAATGGTCCCTGAGGGTTACAACCGAATCACAGTCAGAACCACCCACCTGAGAGTTCAGGTTACCTCAGAAGTACTGGAGTTCAACCCTTGCCTGATGCGTCTAGGCCTTCTATACAAAAACCAGAGCAAATGGGGTGCCAGAATTTACTCCAGAGACAGGGAGTTTACCTACTTTTCTTTTTGAAATATCCTCAATCCTCCAGATCACAAAGAAATCTGTATGTCACACTTGAGCTTAGACCTATAGGAATCAAGTAGTCAGAGGTAGTGTAACTTGTGAAGTTTTATTTTTTTAAGATGATCAACCCTGGTGATTAAGTTGAAGATGGACTTGGAAGGAAAAGAAACAGCTCAGGACTCTGTCACCAGGTGAGAGATAATGGGAGACCGACAGAAAGGAAATGAGGAAGGACAAGAGATCCAGTGATGAGTGCCAGAGAGTGAAGAGTTCCCAGGGTGGAGCTGGCAACGCAAGAGGTGCCCTAAAGCCAGGAATAAACTGCAGGGGTCCCAGCTGCAGGCAGTCTGTCTCTCCCAGGTCTCTCTTCCTTCACCCATTTTCAACCCAGTCTTCCCTCCAGATCATCAAGAGCCAAACGATAGCATAAGTCACCACTATTACCCAAGTTGCCACTGTGGCTTCCCAGTCCAGTAGTTTTTTCTTCCCTTTTCAAAGGATGACCAAAGCTCACTGCTATTCAAGTATGGTCTTAAGAACCACAGCACCACCTGAGAGCTTGTCAGAAATGCAAATTCTTGGGTTCTACCTGACAACTACTGAATCAATCTCTCTCGGTGGATGTCAGTAATCTGTGTTTTAATTAATCTCCAGAAGATTCCTAATGCATGCCTAAGTTTGAGAAGCAGTAATACAGTTAACTTCCCCAAATCAAAGCTTTTAATCCCATATCCATTTTGCACCACTGAATGGAAACTCTATTCCAGGTACACTTGCAAGACTAACATGTAAATTTACAAATGTGCCTCAGTAAGAAAAACTCAGGAAGCCATCATTACTCTTAAGGAAACCACATACACTTGAATGAATCACTTAAATAGAAGCTTTTCAAGATGCAACTATTCCAAGTCATTCTCAGAAATGACTATAATCAAAAGTCAGAAACCAATTTTCAGATGAGTCCCTTACAGATTTCGCCCCCAAATAAAGAAAACGAAAAACTTAATGAAACACCAAGAGATTTGCTCACTTATCACTTACAAGAACTTTTTTTTGGGGGGTGGGGGGGTGGGGGGGGGTGTGAGCTGCACTGTGTGGCATGTGGGATCTTAGTTTCCCTGACCAGCAACTGAACCTGTGCCCCCTGCAATGGAAGTGTGGATTCTAGACCCCTGGACTACAGCATGGAAGTCCTAAGAACCTTCTTAACATAAGGTGAAATGAGACTATTTTACAAGATAATGACAAATCCTAATCCCACTTCTTCTTAAGGCCACTGTCAGGAAGCACAAATAAATTAATTCATCCTCTAAAATGAAGTTTGGGTGGTCCTGTAACAGCCTGTAATAACTGTCCTGCACTAGCAGGGAAAACAACAATTTGGCAATATGGTCAAGTTGTACCCTGTCAGTCATACACTTTTTGGATGAGCAATGAATCTGCTCAGGTGTACCTATTCAATCAGTTGGAACCTATTCTACGACAAGCACTAGGACAGCAATGAGCAAGACAGAGCAAGTCTGACCCGCAGTGAGCTTGAAATAAGTAATAGAAATTACCCTTGACACGAGCACTGACAAGAAGCATGGGTGCTAAGACGGTATATCGTAGTAAAGGAACCTGACATAGTTTGGACTAGAGAGCATCTCTACCAGGGCTGTAAACCAGAATCACCCAGCATAGCTTCTAGTATGCCAAAGCCCAAGCCTTACCCCATACCAAACAAATCAGAATTCTGTGAACCCTGGCCATTGGTTTTAAAAATCATGTGCTCCCCAGGTAATTCTAACATGAAGGCAATGTAGAGAACCACTGGTCTCGGGTATAATGAGACACAGTTTGGGGGAACAGAAGACAGTAAGACAATGCCTGCCCTCCAGGAGCTTTCTATCTAGTGGGAAAGACCCAACAACCCAGAGGTATTAGCAAAATGCTCTAGCAACATGGAGCAAAAAACCCTCAGATTCAGCATAATGCTTCTCTGGGCACAAGGATGGGGTAGTGATCCTAATGGATATATAAGGTGCTTTTACCTGTGGCAGCAAGGCTTGGCCCAGGAACCTCATTATTCTTTATACCTTTTCATACATCTTAAATATTGCAGGCTTTTTATTTTTTTTTTCCATTTATTTTTATTAGTTGGAGGCTAATTAATTACTTTATATTGCAGGCTTTTTAAAAAGTAAAAATAAAATCTGCCTTTAGTCAGTGAAGGCAACATAGAAATCATTTAAGCTGAATTTTGAAGCTTAAGGGGTTTTCTGAGGAAATGATTCTGAAGATGTAGCCTGAAATATAAAAAAAAAAAGTCAGAAGGAAAAGTACCTTAGGCAAAGCGAAGACTGTGCGCAAGAGCTGGAAGCAGAAAAGGCATGGGGCCCTATAGAAACTGAGAGAAGGCAGAAAGCAAAAAGGATGAAGCAGAGGTTCTCAGGGTCTTCCCTGGGGCTCAGACAGTAAAGAATCCGCCTGTAATGCAGGAGACCTGGGTTCGATCCCTGGGTTGGGAAGATCCCTTGGAGGTGGGCAAGGCAACCCACTCCAGTATTCTTGCTTGGGAGAATCCCCTTAAACAGAGAAGTCTGGCGGGCTACAGTCCATGGGGGTCGCAAAGTGTTGGACACGGCTGAGTGACTAAGCACACACACAAAGGTTCTCAGAGTGCCATTCTTGGTCTAGCAGCATCAGCAGCCTCAAGAATTTGTTATTAAATGCAAATTCTCAGGTCTCACTCCAGACTTAAATCAGAAAGAGGTGGAGAGTTGGGGAGGTGGTAATATTAAGGATTTTGGATTTTCTTCTTAAATTAATCAAAAGTAATTGAGAGGTTTTAAATAGAGGAATAAAGGATAATAGTAACTAAATGGTTTGGCGTTAATAGCTGAGCCAAAAAACAAACAAAAAACAAAACAAAAAAAATAGCTGAGCAAAAACTCCTCAAAATCTAATTTTTGTAATAATCAGGATCAGAAACCATACTGAGTCTTTCAATCAAGGGTCACAATCATAACGCCTCTAGGGTTAAGCTGGAAGGGTGCTGAGTGGAAAGAGGGATGTGCGAAACTGAAGGGGCTGCCCTGCAGTCAGCAGAGCATCTGCTCTGGAGTCGAGCACAAACACGAGCCGAGTGGAGGGCTACATGGCGAACCCAGGGACCCCTTAACACAGCTGCTTGAGATAGGCGCGGGCTCCTTGCAGGAAATCCCGCCTTCTCCTTTCTTCAGATGTGACTATTTCCCCAGCCTGGCTAGGCAAATCTGGCATCAAACCAGAATAAATTTCAAAGAATAAACCACCTTTTGTTTCTTTGTCTAAGTAGCAGAAGGATAAAAAGCAATTCAACAAATAAGATGCCAATAACCCAGCCAGTTCACCTCCCACGTGGAGATTCTACTACTACAGAACAGACGACCTGTTTGGATGAGCCCAGGGCAGAGGCCTGAACTTGGGAATGCTCCTTGTGATGGGCTACCCAGGAACAACTTTCTCCTGGGTCCAAGAGGCTACGGGCTACTGGTGTCTTCGCTTCAGTAGGTCAAATCAAGCTCTTGGATTCAACAGTGTAAGGTTCTCAAGCCTTAACAGACAACGTGTTTGTATGCTAGGTTTCTCAGTACTAAAAACTACCAGATGCAGTTCAACCAAAATGTCACCAGAAATAAGCAGAAACTTTCTGATGAGGCGCAACTTACAGCATGGGCAGAAATCTACCGATTTGAGTTCTTGCTGCAGTACTACCTCACCCGGATTTAGCCACAGATGATAGGTGATGAGGGAGTGGTTATACAGTTCTGACTGAATCAGATTAAAAAGCACATTCCAGTGAAGTTCAGGATGCAGAACAGGATTGCAACAGACATCAATGAGAAGGAAACAAGAGTGATTGCCTTATTCAGACACTTCCTCCCCCAATCCCTCAGCTGAAATAGTCAACAGTCTTAGAAGTCCTAGCTGACAATGGCAATTCATCCTGGCCTCGGATGCCTGAATTACAGGTGGTGAGGGACGCCACAGACCTTGTCCTCCCAAGGTTACGGCTTAGAGATCTTCAGGGGAAGCCATGGGGCCTTCATGATAAAGTGAGTTTCCATCTCCTACCTTAAATATCCAGAAAACCATTTTCTTACAAGTCAGAGTAAGGGAAGAGACAAGCTTCAAATCCAAGTAGAATAAGAATTTCAAAAGAATCTTATTCTTACCTGTGGCTGAATTTCCATTTCCTAACTGAAGCCAGATTTGTAAGGAAAGGTTTGCTACCGACAATCTTCTCAGGACAGTCCATTTTATTCCTGTGCCCAGACTGAGGGACTTGCCAACATGTCGTGACAGAGCTAAGACCAAGGGTAAATGCTCCCGGGACCAGCCTACTATTAAACAGTTGGTGTGCCTGCCTTTGAGTATCGAGTATAGTTCCTTCAAGATGATGGTCATTAGAGCCGATGTTTATGGAGGGCCTACAAGCACCAACACTCTCTTTATACTAATTTAATATTAACCTCTCTATGAAGTGTGTACTTTTAGTTTCATTTTACAGATGCAAAAGCTAAGACATGGACAGATTAAGTGACTTGCTCAAGGCTACAGTTAGTGGCAGAGTCAAAATGCAGATCCAGGGCTCTAGAGCCCAAGCTCTTCATCAGCAGACCATACTGTCTTTTTCAGGATACCATCCATCCATTCTATAAACACTGCATCAAGCACCTATTCACATAAAACAACTAGAAAATCTGCTTTTACTCCTCCATGCTCAAACGTGACAATCCATGCTGAACGCACTCCAGATTCTACCGCCTAGCTAAAAGTTAAGACAGATACTTAAAAATTTAGCCTTCAAAAGTAAGATATAGAAAAAAGCAAAAAACACTGAGCTTTTTCTCAGCTTTGATGGAGAGCAGACAGTGCTTCTATCATTTCCATCTTCTCTATCCCTCAGTTGCGTCTGTGCCCAAGAGCCCAAGATTTAACAAACAACAACAACAAAAACCATTTAAACAATGTTGAGATCTCTGAACAGAGATCACAAATATATTCTTCCCTGGGCAGGAAACCAAAACAGACATTCTATAAAGTCAGTCCACCAATTCATATTCAGAATTCTGAGCTTGAATTTAAGGAATAGTTCATCATTCATTTAGCTCAAATACCACCCAAACATCCAATCAGAAAGAAACCGGTCTTCGCTGCTTTTCTCTCTGCCCTCATCAGCTTTTAGAGGCTGGCAGAAATACTCACAGGCAAGCTTGAAGGTCTTGACTGAAGACTCAGGTTCATATCTTCTTGCCCTCCCTTACTGGAGGTCATTGAGGGGGCTGAGGATGCCTGAGACCCAAATGAATCTTGAGATAACTCCTAAAACAAGAGAAACAAAAGCTGTGAGAGCCTGGTTATTGATAAACCAGGCCAGCGTGCTTCATGGTGAAAAGGGCCATATGACTCTATCACACAGGGGAAACTGGGTTTGAGAGACTGACCACTCGCACACAATACTATTCAAAGGCAGAAAAATACAAACTGTGGCTCTTAAGAATGTCAACAGTTACTATTTGGAGTAAATAGAAACTCATGATGAAGAATTATTAAAAAAAAAAAAAAAGTCAACAGTGGACATAAGACTCTCTGATGGCACTGCTGACCATTTATCACCACAGACAGAAAACTGTTCTTTGGGAATAAAGGCTCAAATCTAGCTAACTACTAATTGTATCTATCAAGGAAAGAGACCAACTGATTTCAAAACACCAACAAAAAACTCATACTAGAACCTCTGCATTAAAATGAGTATTGCTTCCTTTAAAGGCACTGGCCTGGGATAAGACTCCAACAGTGCCACCAATGAACAAAATCTTTAGGGGACTTGTCATCATTCAGTCATTTCTCCTTTTTGCTCTTTAGAGAATAAAGGCCAAATTGTTATTTTCAGACTTTTATCACCTAACTTGTTCACAGACATTGCTACAAATGAATTTTAGCTATTTCCCAAAATTCACTCTCAAAAAAAATAAAAGTATTTGCTACAACTT